ACTTAACAATACAATTTTATACAATTTTAAAACTTTTAACGCAAAACATGATCTGTTAACTGTAATGCAAATAATTTCAAGAGCATAATTTATACGAAATCGGAATTTCCTTTAAACGTTTAAAATGAAAATAGAAATGTCATATAAATAAAACAAAATGTCTAAAATGAAACTAGTATTGATCTTATTTTTTACGTAAAGGGCTGAGGCTAAAAATATGAAAAATTTTCTTGAAAAGTTAAACATTAAAAAAACGTGTTTTTTTTAGTCATTTAAGAAATGCATAAAGGTACTTTTAAATGAACCAAAAGAAAAATACGTAAAAGTGCTTTCATTCTTTATTTGTCCTATTACTGAAAATATAGATTTTTTTTTGTTAAATAATATATAAGAATTAAATTTCTTATTTATCTCCTTCATTTATATTCTCCATACATGTAAAAACAAATACTTTCTTTTGTAAGACATTCTGTATTCAAGAGCTGACATATCCTCACACATTAGAAGGTCAACATTGATAATAATTGAGCCAGAAAATAACATTAGCTACTGACAGAATCTCTGCCACTGTTAGTTTCCACCTTAACAAATAGTCGACTCTATTTACTGTCGCATAAGCAAACTTCACATTTAGCGTTAAATGTAACTGGATATTTACGCAACTATACTCACTGTAATAATTATATTTTATTACTTTCTTTATTTCATTATTTTTATCGAACAAAACGCAATACAAAATCGTCAAAAATAAATATTTCACATTAAATATTGTAAGTTTTATTTTAAACAAGATTTTTTTCATGCATACATTATAATTATATATTTTTTTTTTAGTTATTTAACAATTTATTATTATAAAAATAATAGTTCTTGCAAATATAATTTACTGAGAATAATATAAAACAGTGGTCGCCAAACTAAAGCTTCTAAAGCAACCTGACAATTTTTAAATCCTTGAACAACCTACCAATAGAAGTGCTAACTTTAAAATAATCCTTACTTTTGGCTTATTGCCAATAAGCATACATTTCTAGTAAATAAGAAATCAATTTAACTTGATCTACTGAAAATGTCTCCACGATTTACAACTAACTTGCGATTCACGATCTTCTGATAATTGCATTGAGAGAAAAAAGTATGGTTCAAAAAAGTATGCATTGAGAAAGAAAGTATGGATTATTAATAAGAAATGTCATAACCATACAGTACGGTAGTTACTGTCATAACCATACAGAATTGTTTTCTCCGTGAGGTATAAAACTACGGGGAAATAGCTATTTCCAAAATTATTTATTAAAACTATGTAGGAAATAACTGCTTCGAAAGATTTTGTTTTCACATTAGTAAAAAAATGTATGTCTTTTATATTACTAAATGGGCTTTTTTAAAGATTATTTTATTTTCTAATAGAAAATAGCATGTTTGACAAAATAAACTCCTATTATGTCATAAAATATTATAAAGGTGTTATGGAATATTGAACCCTTTGTGGTCATATGTCTTCTCTGTTTCTTTGAGTGACCAGAAAATACGACACCAAAAGGTTATCATTAGTATAACCTACCATTAAATTTTCTTAAAAATTTAAAACGTTTGAAATAATGAAACTAAAATGATCTTATTTCCCGTATCTGAGTAATTTTTATGTTCAGTAAGAAAGGAAAGTTAATTTAAACTTATACTTAACTTGTAATTTAAATTTTAATTTAAACTTATAACTTAAACTTTGTTATAAACATTATAACATTTTAAACATTATAACATTACTATCTTTGTTTATGTTTTATAAAGTGTAATAGAAGAAAAACCGAGTACTACAATAATTACGATGATCGCAATTGGTTCTTGTATATAAATTGTATATAAATTGATTGAAAAACTGCATCTAAATTTTTGATTAGTTCTAATTTTATTACGATTTGAGAAATTTAAACTTATTAAATTGTTTTAAACATAAATATCCATTTAGGTTGAATGAAGTCTAATAGGAAAAAAATCGAATGCGAAAATACATTCGGTTCTCACCGATTCTCACATTCGGTTCTTGTATATAAATTTAAATAAATTGTATATGAATTGTATGTAAATTAAATGAAAATTTATAAATAAATTTTAAATTAGATATATTTTATTAAGTTTCAGGAAATTTAAACTTATTGAATTGTTATAAACATAAATATTTATTTAGGCTGAATAAAATCGAATAGAACTAGAATCGAATGTGACAGTACCCACCCCCGTCCCCGACAGCACCCCCTTAAAGTATAAAACAATGTCATATGTAGATGTAACAAAGGTTGTGGAATAGGCATTTACCTAAAAAAACAAATTCTCTAATAAAACAATCATTCGAAAATTTAAAAATGAAGAGCACAAAGTTGCTTCACTTACTTTGAGGCAAATTGTATTTTCACAATCGAATTATAAAAATATCCTTAATCCTTAACAGAACCTAACTTTTTATTAACCATTAATGAAAATCATAATTAACACATGCATTTTGAAAAAAAAAAACAATTATATTCTCTTATTTATACTATATTATTATACTCTTATCTATTTCACTAATTATAATTGTTTTTCCCCTTAAAGAAGGATCATTGCATTTCATATTTGTGAACTTATTAAGAATTTTCGAGATAAATCAGTAATGTATATTGCGTAAAACAAAAAGAAAATGAACACGTTAATAATTTTTGATATAATAAGATTATTACATAAAAATAATCGTAATGGTTCGAGGAATTGATATTGAATATACTAACCGATTTATTAAGATAGTATTCTGAATTACGTAACAAGACACAGAAACGCTATTTCTTTCAATTAACATAAATTTTTTCGAAATATTTGGATAATTGGCTATCCAATAATGGGGTGAAAAATTTCCACAATCTGGAAAATAATGGCCAAATTAGTTTAGTCGATCCCCTTATTATTAAGCTCACTTTTTCATTTTTTTAACATATCTCTGGAAATATTTAAGAAAATCTAAATAAATGAATAAATAAATAGATAATGATACATTTATACTCAATTGCAAAACTTATTTTTGCAAAATACTTTCAAATAAAAAATACAGAGTTTTTTATTACTTAATCGAAAGCTTTTTATTTGTAAAGTAAGCGGAGAAAAAAGTTAAATTAGAATTAATTAATTATTAATGACATTCATGGTGAGAAAAAACGCATAATTCTGATAAAATAACAATAAATCATTCATTTGGTAAATTTAAATGTTTAATTTGGTAAATTTTCCGTTAGTAAGATAACGGTTTATCGGAAATTCTGGTTTTCATAATTATAGCTCTTATTACCACATATTTAGTACAAAATACAAAACTGAGAAGTAAACTTAACTAAATAAATGGTTTTTATGGATGCTCTAAGGCAGGGAGGGCAAACCAATGGCACGCGTGCCATTTATGGCACGTGACACAATATTCTGGGCACGCCACAGATCACAAAGTTCACTATGAAGCATCTTAACAAATAAAATTATAATTCACAAAAAAAACAATTACTAACAAAAAATTAATTGCTAATGTCAAATAAACAATAACCATAAAAAACAAGCTAACAATAAATAACTAGTAGAAAAAAATTAACAGTCCTGCTTAAACTAACATCTTACAACCTAATATAAGTTGTTTGTCATCTAATCTGCAACAACAGGAGTCATGTTGCTTTAAGTTAAATTGCGCGTATAACTGAGACATTGCAAAATATATTCTTTTTTCATAGTGAATAAAGAGTTTTGAGCTGATAGTATCTAGCAATACGTATTATTTCCCCAATAATCACGAAGTCAAAATTATTTGACGGCACGTCTATGACTTCATTAAACAATTTTTTGAAAAAATGGCACGTTGGTTACTACAAGGGTTGCCACCCCTGCTCTAAGGTCATGCTCTAAGGCATCATAATAAAAGTACCACGTTTACGAAATTTTATCACATATTTTAAAACAATATTTAACTATTAATTTTTCCATACAGCTTCGGTAAAAATAACCGAGATTTTTGGTGTTCCCATAGAACCAGAAACACGGTAAATTTTGCCAAATTCTGACCATAATTTTTTTCTCAATATATATAAATTTTGATACGTTTTATATGACGTAATACATAATTGAATAACAAGAGTTTTTGAGAATTGAAATTTTAAAAATACAACTTTTTTATAAATTATATTATTTAGAAAATTTCACCCGATTTCTTTCCTTTTTTTTTTAAATTTAAAATTACATAACCTAAAGTGAATTGAAAAGTAAAACTTTCGAAACTTTTCGCCGATCAATAAATCATATAATAAAATACCATAAATGGCCATGAAAATCAGTTTTATAAGGAAATTATTTAGAGAAATTTCGTTTCGAAATTGTGCAGATTTTTTTTATTTTTCAAATAGTCCCAGAGATATGCTGCGAATTATCGATTAAAAAGTTTAAAAATTAGACCTATCTCCTGGCTTATAACTATTGAGATCATAATTTCCAGATTGTGGCTACCATACTTGTTTTGACTTACAAGAACGTTTTTACGCTAATTTTGTAATTAAAATTACAACTACTGAAAGGAATTCGCATATTTAAAGCTAGTCTTTCGTACAATTAAGTAGGCTTTTTTGTTCGAGAATAAAGGTGTTTCGTGTTAAAGGTGTGTGTTGTTAAAAAGGTGTTTCATTTTAATATTTTGCGCGCTTTTTACATTATGCAAAAAAAAATTTTTACGAAAATTTCCTCATATTTAACTTTCATTTATCCTTTTTTTTAGGAGAACAGAAACATCTGCCTGGTAAAATATACATATTATGTTAATCATGAAAACTTATGACTTCATAAGTATTCTTTTGTTTCATAATTATTCTAACGAGTATTTCTTCGAACCTGACATTATCCATGCTTCTTGTAGAACAAGATTATGTGAGACGAATTAGCAAAAAGTGTATTTTTATTCTTTTAAAATGGATTTGAAATGAAATTTATACAAGTTTACTTACCAGCTGAAGAGCATAAAGACTTTCTGCGTTCTGATAACTGGTATATTACATGCTCATTTGATATGCCTTTTGCTGATAGAGGTTCCACTTTGTAATCACCATGGCAAGTGTGAATAAAACCAATCTGGAAATAAAATACTAATATTTACATACATTTTTTCATTAAAAAAAACAACAAAATTTAAATTTAATTGTATTTCCCATCAACAATAGTTTTAAAAAATATGATAGCTAATAAACATTTATTTTATTTTAAGTAGATAGTCGCGTGTAAATGTCTAAGCTCAGTATATTGTTACATTTAATTTGATTGTTAAAAAGAATAAAAAATATCTGAATAAATAAATCGCTCAGTTGGTGGGGCATATAGTTAAACTGAGCTTTTGCGCGAAGCCGAAGATATGTGGAATACCATTTCCCAGAATTACATACAGAACCTGTATGATTAAATGCTACGATGTGTACAGACTCTCATTGTTCAGCAAGGCGGAAGCACAAAATACTGTTTTCCGATTATCTTTTTTTTTGTGTGTAGTAAATATGGTTATTTATACTACTATTGTACTACTGCATTGTATTATACTATTTATACTACTATACTTATAAGTTTATTTCTTCAATTTCTGAAAACTCCGTCATGGTACACCTTTCTTTCAAATTGCAATTTTTGTAAACATATTTTTATTTTTTAATTTTATTTTTTAACCATCATTAAACAGCTGACCCAATTTTGGGTTTATGACTACCAATGTTCAACTCCGTAGCCCTGCAATTTTGAACCCAATGCAGAAGGCAAGAGAGCTCTGGATCTAGTACTGGGAGAAATTTGCATTCTTGGGGGATTTTTTAATGGAACTAACCCGCATTTGCATTACATGGATAGAAAAACCACGAAAACCTTCCACGATTAGTCTGACTGCAAGGGGATTCCATCCCATGATTCGTCTATCCCTGAGGATATTTTATGTCACCACTGTGGTCTGTGCATCCCGTATGCGGAATTCGTATTGACCAACCATCGTTATTCGTATCGACCAACCATCACCAACCTTAATTTATTACCGTCATTGAACAGCCGACCCATTTTTTTGAATTTACGACAACTAATGTTCAACTTCGTAGCCTTGTAATTTTGAACAAAACCCGGAAGACAAGGGAACTTTTGGATCAAGTATTGGGAGAAATTTGCCTTCGTGGAGGACTTTTTGATGGAACTAATCCGCATTTGCGTTACAGGGAGAGAAAACCTATGAAAACCTTCCACTGTTAACCTAACGGCAAGGGGATTCCACTCCATGATCCGTCTACCACTGATGACTGTGGTCAGTGCAAGCGAGATGCGTAATACGTATTGACCAGCCATCGTTGGGATTCAAACCCGGTTCACCACATTGGAAGGCGAACGCTTTTTCCCCTGAACCATCACGGCTCATAACATCAATATATTATATTATATTATATTATATTATATTATATTATATTATATNTTTGCAGGTTAAGTTAAGAGTTATTATTATATTATATTATATCCATCGTTGAACAGCCGACCCAATTTTAGGCATACTACTACTAATGTTCAACTCCGTAGCCTTGTAATTTTGAACCAATCCAGCAGACAAGGAAACTCATGGATCAGTACCCCCAGAGGTATGCTGGGGGATGGAAGACTTTGTGACTCGACATGGAGGACTTCGTGACTCGACAGATTTAAAGTGCATCGAAAAATTTAGACACATTTATACTTATTAACGGCCGAAGGATGAAAGTAGTTATAAAAAATATATTGACCGGACAGTTTTGCACGTTTCTGAAAAAGTATTTAAAATTTCGGAATTCTTGAAGCTTTTTAAGGAAAATTTCCAAGGCAACTCTTTGACTGCGATACAAAATCGTTACCGGATCAGCATCGTTGAACCCAACGGATTCGAGTTTAATGCTGTGCAACAAGTTTTTTAGATCTAAACAAATTTTGATGATATATAGCAATTAGTCAAAATGGTTTTTACAGCATCTTTTTTTCTTAATATTCAAAGAAATTTATGAGTTGCCATTAATTCATAAATAACAAAGAATTTAATTCGACATAAATAATTTTTATGAAATTCTAGATATTCTGCAGCACAAAAAAATATAGCTCCGAAACTAATTTCCATTTTTTTCATTATAAAAAAATATTAAATCATGTTTTCCGTTTTTTCAAAATGTTGATTTATTGCATCTTTGTCGCCCCATTTAGCTCCAAAGATAAAGAAATGATACTCTAGAATGATAAATTAGTCTTCGTTTAGTTATAAAAATGTGGATTGCGTTTCTTCAATGCGGCAGAAAATATCTGAGATGAAAAACTCTCACCACGTTAATCTAAAAAAAGGCGCAAATAACAAATTAGCTTCATTCCCGAAAGACACAGAGTTGAATCAGCTTCTGAGTTTACGAGAAAGCAATAAATAAGTTAGAGAAAGACTCTTTAGATGAGAAACAGTTTTGCTTTTTCGGAAAAGCGTGAAATATTTTTGTAACCATTTAGTTGTTAAAAGCATGTACTGAAATAGTTTACAAATTTGTGTAATTCAAGCAAGTCTTAAATCTTTTCTCCCTCATGAAAACAATACTTTTTACTCACTTTTAATTTTAAATTTAATATCTCACAGATGTATTTATTTGCAAAAGTAATGAAGGTTAATGCTTTTTTTTAAAAAATACAGTTGTAAAAGCAAGGTGTTTTTTTTCTTTGGCTTTAAAAATTAAAACCAAATTATCTGACAGATAAAAGTACTTTAAAAAGCAAAAAAGCTTAATTGCTCAATTAGTTTTTTTTTGTTTAAAAAAATCTCAATGTTATAGCTAGGTTAAACCTATCTAAATGCAAAAACTTGTTTTATAAGTTGTATTTTAAAAAAGACGAACTTGAAAATAACTGTAAAACGAGCTACTAAAAATGGGATGAAACTTAATTAACTAGTGAATATACTCTGATTCCGAAGTTGGATAGTTTTGTTTTTAATATAATTTATCTAAGTAATTAAGTGTATTTAAAAATGCGATTAAACTTTAATTATAGAAAAACTATAATTATATAAAATACCTTAATACGATATTTAGGCAGTTTTGTTGTCATAGTATTTAAAAAAAATGCAAACTCAAAAATATTTCGATGATACTTGCATTTTTTTAAAAAAAAATTATAAAATTTAATCAATTATAAAATTTAATCAATTATAAAATTTAATCAATTACAAAAGAAATGCTGATGCACAACCTAATTGGCTTATTTTAATATTCTCAAAATTAAGAAAATTTAATATTTTGGATTTAAAATTGTATGATACATTTGTAAAAGATCGCTCTTAAGCATCTTAGTATTATCAAACATTTCTCAAAATCATTGAAAATATATTTCATAATGCTTTTCAAACTCCATTATCTTGAAAAAAAAACTGCAATAAAATTTAAGAAAAGTAAAAAAAAGTGTAGTAAAATTCATTTAATTTTGTAAATTAAAATCCTATACTTTTCCAACTTTACATTAAGTTTCTCTTACTTTTGAAATCCATTGCGTCATTGTTAAATCAACAACTTTATTGACTACAATTAGTGGCCTTTTAAGGGCTTTGCGTCCTTCGATTACTCTTTATAATCATATTTTATTTGAATAAAAACAAATTATTTGGGTGTAACGACAAGTTCAAGCGTTAAAAGCCAAATTATGCTTGTAATTCGAGCGAGAAAATCATTTTTCAAATAGACTCATTATCGCTACTTCGGAAAGCAGTCAGAATACTAAAATGGAAAACGAATCAAATTTATCCATCAATTTTTTTTACCTCACCCTTAAAATCAATGAAAGAGGAAGATGAAGATTGATTAAGCAATGATAAAGAGAAAAAAGGTAATTCGTTTTGTGTTGATAATATATTTCACTTTCGGCAATTACAGATTTTTATTGTTTTTTTTCTTTACTTACTGTAATCCTCAAATCGCTATCTATAAGATCTTATACACCACCGGTTGTAATAGATAATCATGTGATTAAGTGGGTATATGTCATTTTTTTAAATTAATTAGCAATTATTTAACCATTATGTATTCCAATGTTAAGTCAGTTTGATGCTTCATTTATTCTTTGAATTGATGATCTTTTAAGTAGTCTTTAGGAATTGATTCTCAATGCAGATTATTATTTTAATTTGCAAAATGGAATGCTTCGTTTGCTAATTAATAGATGTTATTAAATTAAAATTTACCAAATGATTTTGATTTTAATTTTTATAATTATTAATTTGAGACCGTTTTACGTATTATTACAAGATAATATAATTGATTAAATGAATAAAACTTAATCTATCTGTCTTAACTATTATTCCGTTCTTAATAATTTTAGATATTCCTTTACTCTTATTGCCTTCCATTAAATTCGACATCTTGCTTTTCATAGAGTCTACTAGGTCAGCATTAACATCAAACCTATTGTTTTCTAAACTGCTTCTTATAATTTAGCTAAATATAATGTTTTAATTTTTTAATCAGCCTTGATATGGTTCATATGGTTTCCTTTAGCGCAATATGTTTGCTTATTTTATTTTTCTAACAACCTTTGTTGAACAGCCGACCAGATTTTAAGTTTACGACTACCAATGTTCAATTCCGTAACCTTGTAATTTGAACTCAATTCAGAAGACAGGGAAACTAGTGGATCCTATTGCCTTTTTAGATTACAGAAATTTGCCTTTTTAGATTACCCTTTGATGGAACTAACCCGCATTTGCGTTACATGGAGAGGAAAATCGTAAGAAAACTCCCATAATTAGCGTAACGGCAACACTCTGACACGAGATCTGTCAACCACAGAGGATATTTTACGTCAGCAGTGTGGTTGGTGCGAGTTGGGGGCAGAATTTGTATCAACCAGCCATCGCAGGAGTTCGAAACTGGGTCACTTTCTTGGCAGACGAGGGCTCTATCTCCTAAGCCACTACGACTCTACATCTTTGCTTATTCCTATAAACAACGCTCTAAATTCTTTTAAACCAAAGTCACGAAAGTTTCATTGTACTTATGTTTAATATAACGCACATGTTTAGAGTAGTTCATATTTACTTTCGACGTTATGTCTTCTAGTAGGAC